TTCCTTCAAACCAAACATAGCCTTAGAGGCTTTGGAGTGGAATAATCCTGTAGATGTTGAACAATACAAGAAGTACATTGAAAAGAATCAGGTATTTGATTTGCTTGTTGGACTAAATGCTAAATATGACTTCACTAGGCAGGATATTCTTAGTGTTAATATCTTACCACTCTCCATAGCAAATCCCCTTTTGAAGAATGAGGAGAGTAGGAGGAATGCTATGGTGTAGGTTGCTATAGGTGAACACACTACCCTTGTGTCCACTAAGCCTAAACAGAGTTCTAGTAAACCTACTTTGTTTCAAAAACCTAAAGAGATTATTTGTGAATATTGCAATAGGTTGAAACACACGAAGGATAAGTGTTAGGAATTCCGTACTTGAACCCTGAGAAGTTTAAAACCAAAAAGGGAAATGCCCAAGTTGCTACAAGCAACCATGATATTTTGACTTATGTGCTTAAGGGAAATCCTTTTCCTCAGACACCTACTTATGACACCTATGATGTGATGAACAAATTAAGGGGCATCTTACTTCAACTTGAAAAAAGTGTGTTGTCTACGTTTGTTGGTTCTCACACACCTTCCAATGCCTTTGCAAAATCAGATACTACACTTGCTTTCCATACCTCATACCCTATCTCTTGGATAATTGACACAGGAGCTCGTGATCATATGACAGGTATGCGTTCTTATTTCACCACTTATAAGTTATTTTCAAGGAAAAGTAGATTACTATTATTGATGGATCACAAACTCCAATCTCATGTTTGGGCGAAATCAAACTTGCTGAAAACCTTTCTCTAAACCGTGTACTACATGTTCCACAATTGCATAGATATCTTCTATCTATTAATTCCCTTACCAAAACTCATAATTGTTCTATAACCTTCTTTTCTTCTCATTATTATTTCAAGACCTGAGTATAAGGAAGATGATTGGTAGTGGACATGAAGCCGATGGAGTTCATCTTCTTTATCAGTCTCCAAAGTTAGAGTTAATGTGTAAGTCTAAGTCCTGTCATGATGAAACTAAGTCAATTGAAATTGTGGCATCACCATCTTGGGCATGTATGTTTTAGTTCACTAAAGTTTTTGTTTCCTAATTTGTTTGAGTCTATGTCTAGTTCGAGCCCACAGTATGAAGTTTGTCGATCATCAAATAAATGTAAAACCACATATTTTGCAAGTAATAAAAGTAGTATTCCTTTTCATTTTATACATATTGATGTTTGGGGGGACCTTATTCTATTCCATGTATGGGTGGCTACAAATATTTTATTTTTTTTATTAATGACTACTCATAGTACACTTGGTTGTATTTAATGAAGAGTTAAAAATAAAGCACCTTCAATTGTAAAAAATAAACAAAAAAAAACTAATTTAATATGGTAGAGATTCAGTTTAAGAAAAAGATATAAATTATTAGATCTAACAATGCCAAGGAGTACTTTGAGAAGAACTTTCAAGCTTTCCTCGAAGGAAAAAGAGGTAATTCACTGGAGCTCTTGTTCTCATACCCCCAATAGAATGGAGTATCAAAAAGGAAGCATAGCCATTTGGTTAAAGTGGCCAGAGTAATTCCAGATGCATGTTCCAACTTGTTTCTAAGGGGATGTTACTCAAATAATTGTAAATCTTTTTAACAAACTTCCCACAGGGACCCCTTATCTCTAGTCTCCTCATCAACTCCTTTATTTCCGATAAGGATGCCTTTCACCTTCTTCTCAAGGTCTTTGGGTATGTCCACTTTGTCTATGGCATGAGTCCTAAACTAAAATTTGATGCAAAGTCTATCAAGTGTGTCTTCATGGGATATTCATCAATTGAAAAGTACCATTGCTATGATTCTTGCTCTATTAAGAAATATGTGTCCAAAGATGTCACCTTCTTTGAGTCTACTCTATTCTTCTCACCATCTCATCCTTCTCTTAAGGGGAAGAATGTTAGTGAAGATCATACTCCCTTTTACATGCTCATTCCTATGTTGATTACAATTGATATTCCTAATCTCTCTCTTCTTCTTCTCCTCCTACATGTGGTGGTAGTAGTGTTCCTCCTATCCCTTGGTCTTGGCACTAATGGTTCATCAGACGAAAAAAGATGACGACTCTGGAGATTCAATGTTCATTGTAATCCGACTTTTCAAACCTAAGTAACTCTAAACTTCAGCATCTCCCTATTTCTGATGCCTGTGTTAAATTTGTTACTAAGCCTCCTAATATGAATTTTGACCCTAACCTCCCTATTACAATTCATAAAGCGAAAAGAACATTTGATAAATATCTTATCTCAAATTATGTCTCTTATGACACCTTATCACCATCCTATTGTGCCTATATCTGTGTCATTTCTTTTGTTTCTATCATACACAATGTTATTGAGGTAGTACAGTTCCCACATTCAAAGGATGCTATAAATCAGGAGATAAAAGCTTTTATACAAAACCAAATATGGAAAATTATCCCTCTCCCATAAGGTAAATTTCCTATTGGGTGTAAGTGGGTATGCACTATGAAGTATAAACTAATGGCTTAATTGAAAGGTATAAAGCTCACCTTATGGAAAAGGGGGTACACTTAGTCCTACGGTATTGATTACTAAGAAACCTTCGCACCTATAGCCAAGATGAACTCAATACCGGTCATTATGTCTCTAGCTGCCCACTATTCTTGGCCCTTGTAACAAATGGATGTTAAGAATGCTTTCCTTAATGGTAACCTTCAATAAGAGGTATACAGGGATCTTCCTCTAAGAGTGATCATTCCAAGAAGTATGGAAAAAGTTTTTCACTTGAAGGAATCCCTTTATGGCCTTAAGAAATCACCTAAATCTTGGTTTGATGGATTTAGAAGCGTAGTATTGAATGTTGGCTTCACTCAATCTCAACTTGACCATACCATGTTTATAATGAAGAGTCAATGTCCATGTGACTCTGTCAATGATATTGTTGGTGATGATGTCTCAAATATTAATGAATTTAAAAATTTCCTTGTTATTAAATTTGAAATTCTAGAAATCATCAATACTTCCTTGGGATTGAGGTTGCAAGGTCAAAAAAGGGCATTTATATTTCTCAAACAAAGTATGTTCTTGACTTATTCTAATAAGTAAAAAATTTAGATTGTAAATCAAATGAAATTCTAATTAATCCCAATCATAAGTTGGGAGTTGATAATGGGAGTCTTCTAACTGACAAAGGTGTGTATCAAAGACTTATTGGTCGCCTTCTCTACCTATGTTTAACTAGGCCTAACATATCATATGATGCGAGTGTGGTCAACCAATATATGAATAAGCTTGGATCTTCTCATATGCAAGCAGTGAAAAGAATACTTGCCTATTTGAAAGGATGTCTAAGGAAAGGAATGTTGTATTCCAATGATGGGCATCATAAGGTTGAGGCCTACACTGATGTTGATTGGGCAAGTTCTATTGATTATATGTGCTCTATTTCTAGTTATTTCACCTTGGTGGGTGGTAATGTTGTATCATGGAGAAGTAAAAAGTAATTTATTGTGGCCCGATCTAGAACAGAGGTAGAGTACAGAGCTATGGCCCATGAAGTTCTTGAACTACTATGATTAAATAACTTGTTGACAATGATACAAGTATAGATTGATACGCCTATGATATTATATTATGACAACCAAATGCCATAAACATAACTCATAATTCTGTTCAACATGATCATACAAAGAATATGGAGGTTGATAGGAACTTTCATTAGAAAAAAAGTTGTAAGCAAAGAGATTTGTTTACCTTTTATGAAGTTTGAAGATCAACCGGCAGATTAACTTACAAAATGTGTTCCCAAGCCAAAACCTGGCAACAATTTGGGTAAGTTGGGCAGGATAAATATCTATACTTGACTTGAGAGGGAGTGTTGAGATAGTAAGGGTATTTTTGTCTTTGTATATGCATTTTGTATTAGGGCACCTAGTTAAGAGTATTGTTGTAATTTCTTCATCCGATGAAAATGCTATGTTTATAGACATGAAGAGTAGCTTATCCTATTATTCAGACAAAATCTCTCTTTTTACCCTCTTCTCTTCTTCTTTTTCTCTTTAATCATTGTAATTGATCCTAATGTGAAAATGGCTAATAGTCAAGGGGAGCCATTTAGTGATCCTAAAAGGTACAAAATATTAGTTGGAAAATTCATTTACCTCATAATCACCCGTCTTGATATCTACTTTAGTGTAAGGATTCTGAGTCAGTTCATGCAAAATCCCACAATCATTCCCTAGGAAGGTGTTGTAAGAGTGTTGAGATATCTAACTGCTCCCAGCTGAGGATTACTATACATGAAAGAGGATAACTAACCTTATAGGGATATTACAATGTAGATTGGGAAAGTACCATAATCGACTGGAGGTCTACTATAGGGTATTGCACTTTTTTGTGTGGCAATCTCATTACTTACAAAAGTAAGAAGTGTAATTTCTAGGAGTACTGCTGAGGTTGAGTACAAAGTAATAGCTCACACCACTTGTGTGTTGATATGGCTGAAACATAATTTTACATAAATAGTAGCAACATCACCATTCATCACATTTTCTCATACAAAATAACAATTAACTTCTATATATTTGGTCCTTTCATGAAAGATTAGATTGGATGCAATATGGCATTGTATTATTGTAATTTTTCATATTCTAAAGAAAAGAATAACAGTTCAGGTCAACAAGGAGAAGACACTAGTTGGTATCTTCACCCTTTAAACCTCTTTTCTCACTTTCTTTCCTTTTTGTTCTCTAATGTACAAAACATCCTTTTCTACCTTATTCCCTTCTTTTTCTTCTCTTTTCTCTTTATTCTCATGTTGTAACAAACTTAAACATTTTGCATATATAATGTCATATATAAATCTCATGTATGATAGATAGAGTGACAATCACCACTTTGTTTATCATATGACTAATAAAGGTGGTAACTCATGGACATTAAATCAAAGAGAGATACACAGGAAAAATTCCATAATGTGACAAGATCAAGATATACCTGCGCACCAAGAGGAACAGGTAGAAGCCCATATATGGAACTATCCAATACAACTAAAATACCATTGTTGCTTCGAATAAGAAAACGAACATCATGGAGAGAAATTATTTGTACCAATGGATGTGGAGCTCCAACAGATCGTATCTAAATCATTGAAGTGTAAGAGATAAATTTATTGAATTATATGATCTTTGGGTCAAATTTATGTGAGGAAAATAAAATTTGGAATATTAGTCACCTCAATATGTCTTGGTAACTGAGCAATTGCATACGGTATGTGGATGACCATGGATGTAGGGGCTTCAGACCAACATATCTTGCCTTCTTGAAGAAGCTTTCCATTTTGGTCAACAAAAACTCCAATATTATCCTAATTAAGGAAATAAGCATATTATGGGATTAGCAATTATCAACCAAAAGGAGATGCAAGAGTTTACACATAAGAAACTCAAAAATGTCGTGCCTTTATTATGAAAATTTGAATATGTATTTGTGTGTGTACATAACTTCCCATGTCCCAACAAATGATATGAACATGGAGAGAAAGAACTGCATTCAGTTGCTAAATTTCCTATTTTTTACTTTATATTTCTTGTATTTGACCAACAGATATCATTTTTTTTATTTTGAAGCATGAGGCAATTCATTCAACAACATCAACTAATTACATTGTTCAGTCTCAATAATATGAGAGATAACAGTAGGTACAACTGTCCAAGTAAATCTATTGTACATGAGAGAACCAAGTTTTCTAGCTATGCAATAAGCAGCCAAATTGCATGATCTGGGATAGTAGATAACTGAACAATGCTCAAGGGCATTCAAGATATTCCTACACTCGGACACAATATAGTGTAAACTCCAATAAGGGTTCTCAATAGCCCCTAATAGGACATTGACAAATGTTTGTGAATTACCCTTGAAAATTAAATAACTATGAGATAGATCTCTGGCAAAGTGAAATGCTTCAAGGAAAGCTTTTACCTCTGCTTCAAGAGGCAATGTAGCTGAAGTAGGAATATCTCAAGTAAAGAGTAAACAATTGTGATGGTTCTAAACAACTACACCAACACCCCCTTTGTCTTTTGTGAAATTAGCATCAATGTTCAGCTTAAGGAAACCTGACGAGGGTTAGAATGAGCTATAGTGCAAGCAACCTATGTGATGAGAATAGAGTGCTTGTTTTGATTAATACCAGTAATTGTAGTAAGATGAGCACTGGTCATCATAAGAACATGTGCAAGGTTGCTAAAATTTCTACTTGCATAGAGTCGAGCTCTTTTTAAACTGGTAAGAATGATGAGGCAAAAAAAAGATAGAAAAAAAGAAAGTAAGGAAAAGAAAAAAAAGAAGGAAAAAAAAAAGAAAAAAGTGAATGTGTTTTGTTTTGCATGTTTTTGTAATAGGATCCCAAATTGTTGTTTTTGGGTAGCTTTGTTGACGGTTTGGATCTAGGGGTATTTTCATCATTTTATAATTCGTATTTTAGTCAGAGGCAGTTTGGTGCACATCTATTGGGTTTTGGTCTCTTGGGTCTTTTTGTAACAAAATGTTATGTTTTGGAGGTTTGTTTGAAGTTAGCTTTATTCTTAAGGAGTTGCTTATGAAAGGCAAACATTATAGGAGCTCATTTGTAAATATTTTAATTGGCTTTTCCAACAAGCCATTAAGTCTTATAAAAGAGAAGGGGATATTTCTACTGCAGTTTTTTTGTTCTTTCTCTCTTGTTTGAGTTGTTGCTCTTAGCCCCAACTAAGGTTTTCAAGTATTGGGAGCATGGGTTTTGAGGAGTCAACCTATTTTGGCACCTTCCAATACCTCTATCACAGCATGTCCATGCAGGTGGCCAACTTGATGCCATTGTTACTGTAGTGAAAGTGTTCCAAGAGAAGTTCTACTTTGGGTTCAGGTCTGAAGACCCTAAAAATCTAACTTATTTGTTGTTTTCATCTTGGTATCTCTTGTGGTTATTGTTGTACACTTAAAGAGTTGCATGTAATTTGTTTTTCTATCCACATCAAGTGATATCAGAGCAAGTTCTTTCCTTGGGATTGCTTCATAGTTCATCTCCTTATTCTGTTTTTCTATATTATTATTGCTACAAGGGGTGGTAGAAGGCCACAACATGTCACTGTAGACATTTTTCAAGAGGCTATAAGAGGGTTGCAAGAAAATATTGAGCATATTGCTCAACTTGTAGCTCAAAATACTACTAGGAATGGTGATGAAGAAAGTGATTTGGGGGTAGGAAGAAGAAGATAGACTCCTAGAGTTGATGAACATCCCACTGACATTATTAGTGATGAATCAAGTGAAGAAGACATTGGGTAACCTGAAGGTGATCATCATGAAAAGAATAACAACCAACAATGGTGGAGGTGTCTGGATTAGGTGCTTGAGCAAATGAACTTTGGACAAAAATGGAGAAATTGGATAAAAGTATGTGTTTCTTTTCCCAAATTCTCAGTGTTGATCAATGGCTAGTCTATGGGGTTTTTTGATAGTCCGAGGGGTCTTAGACAGGGGGACCCTCTCTCCTCTACTCTTTATTTGTATATCAGAGCTCCTGACCCAATTCTCCCTTAAGGCAGCAACCAATGGTTTGTGGAATGGTTTTGCAATTGCTTCCGAAGCAGAAAAAGTCAATCTATTGTAATTTGCTGATTATACTCTCTATTTTCTTGATGCCTCTTCTGATCAAGTGGATATATTACTTGGTATACTTTGCTGGTTTGAAGTAGTCCCAGGCCTTAAAGTTAATTTCCATAAAAATAAGATAATCCCAATGGGCCCCGTTCCTGACCTGTATTCTTTTGCTAGGTTGATGACCTGCCATGTGGATTATCTTCCAATTAAGTACCTTGGCCTCCCACTAGGTGCCAAATGTTATTCTTCTGCTTTATGGGATCCAGTAATTGAGAGAGTTGGGAAAAAAATTAGCCTCCTGAAAGGCAAAATATCTGTCTATAGGAGGGAGAGTGACCCTTACCAAGAGTACCCTTGCCAACCTCCCTATTTACTTCATGTCCATGTTTCCTTTGCCATCTAAAATTGCAAAGAAACTTGAGAAGATGTAGAGAGATTTTCTCTGGAGAGGGTGGGAAGAAGATGCACCTTATGAATTAGGACCAAGTTTGTCTTCCTAAGGTAGAGGGTGGTTTAGGCCTTAGAAGATTAAATGTGGTAAATTCGGCTTTATTGAGTAAATGGTGTTGGAGGTTTGCTATAGAAAAATCTTCTTGGTGGAGGTCCCTAGTTGCCACAAAATTTGGTGTGGATTGGGGAAATTGGAAGTCTCAAGACCCATACCCCAACTTGGGCTTGTCCAATTTGGAAAGGGATTCTTAAATATCTTCCTGTGATGTATGAAGGTGTGAGGTTTAAGGTGGGAAATGGGAACAGGCTGAAATTTTGGAAAGATCCCTGGTGTTTGGACAGACCTTTAGCTAAGGTGTTTCCTCTTCTGTTCCAATGTGTAGTTAACCAAGAAATATCAGTGGCAGAGTCTTGACCTAGAATCCTCAGTTCAGAAGAAAGTTATTTGATTGAGAAATAGGAGTGATGCATCTACTGTAGATTTTATAGGAGCAAACGATAGACATTGCTGGTGAAGATGAATGGAGCTGGTCCTGGAGTATGGATGGATGTTTCTCAATCAAATCCCTAACTTTGAAGCTTAGTAGTACGGGGGTTACTGAGTTCCCCTACCAGCAAATATGGAAGTCTTGTGCTCCCTCGAAGGCTATCATCCTTGTATGGACTATGGTGCTTAACAAATGTCTCTCAAGACTCAACCTGGACAAAAAAGGTATTCAGCTCCCTTCTCTAATGTGTGGTTTGTGTGGCTTATTACCTGAGTCCACAGACCATCTATGTTTACATTATCCTATCTCTTTAAGAGTTTGGTACCACTTTATAGGTGCGGCTGGTCTTGATTGGATCATGCCAAGTTCAATTAAAGATTTGCAACTTTGTTGGAATCCTCAAGGTTTGAAGAAAAAAGGAAATTTAATTTGGAGAATTATTCCTACGGTAGTGATGTGGGTAATTTGGTCGGAAAAGAACATAAGAGTCTTCAGCAACAAAGTTAAGAGCACTGAGGAGATTGTGCAGCAAGTGGTCAGCAAGCAGGTGATCAGCAACCAATAATGGGGTTCAACTTCATATTAACGAGTTTAATGGTGAGTTGGAACCTAAAGAGTTTCTAGATTGGTTAGACAGCATTGAAAATTATTTTGGTTGGAAGAAAACGAGTGAAGAAATAAAAGTGAAGCTTGTAAAAGCAAAGATGTGTGGGACAACCTTGGATTGGTGGAAAAGTTATCAAAGGGACAAAGAAAGGATGAGAAAAAGAAAAGTTAGTTCTTGGGAAAGAATGAAAGAAAAGCAGAAATCACAATTCTTACCACTAAATTATAAGCAAACTCTTTACAAAGGTGTAAATTTTAAGGCAACGGGAAAAGAGTGTAAAGAAGTAAAGAAATAGAGTTTAATAGATCAGAGTAATATGACAAAAATTGAACAAAAAAAAAAGTTAGTATATATCAATGGTTTGAGGTTGCCAATACAAGATCAACTCAGCCTACATTGTATAAGGTAAAGGATGCCTATCAACTAACTCTAAATGTTGAAGTTCAATTAAGTCATAACTTAGGGCAGAAACTAAGTGTCATCCAAGGTACATCATCAATAGATCGAAGTGTTGGGGCTGGTAAGGGTTGTCTGGTGAACCAAACACAACATACAATCCAAAGGACCTCAAGTGCAATAAAGAGCAATCAAGGGTAGCCTATTGTTAGATGTTTCAAGTGTATGGAGTTAAGACACCATTCTAATGAATTTCGTAAGAGAAAGATTGAAGAAAAAATGCATCTAATTGATGAAGTCATTAATGAACAACAAGATGATATAGGCCATGTTGAGGATGGACAAGTTGTTGAAACCACTAAAGTTAATGCTTTAAAGGAAGAAAATTTGGATGGAGACATTGAGGGCAAAGCTCTAGTGATATGGCACTCCATGGTTGCACCTCAAGAACAACTACTAGGGGACTTGTTGAGAAATAATATCTTTAAAACACGTTGTAAGCTAGTGGGAAGTTGTGTAACTTGATTATTAATAGTGGGAGTAGTGAGAATCTTGTTTCCCAAGAGGTGGTGGATAAGTTACAGTTCAAGACTATTCAACACCCCCAATCATATCACATTTTGTGATTCAACAAAGGAAATGAGGTGAGAGTTTCTTATAAATGCTTAGATAATTTATCTATTGGTAATACATTTGAAGAATCAATATAGTGTAATGTTATCCTAATTGATGTATGCCATATTCTTTTGGGACACCCAAGGCAATATGACCATAAAACAATTT